TGCCTTGCCTTGCCTTGCCTTGCCTTGCCTTGCCTTCCTGCCTGCCTGCCCGACCTTACGTTACGGCTGCGCCGCGACAAAAATAGGATTTGATCCTAATTTTAGAGGAGCCCTGCGCCGAGCCGCTTCTGGGACGCTTCTGAGCCGTAACGCGCCGCGTGTGGTGGAATAGCACCCATTGACTAGAGTGGCCGCGATCGCCGCGATCGCCGTGAGCACCGCGGCGCAGCCGTAACGCGCCCGTAACGCGCCCGTAACGCGCCCGTAACGCGCCCGTAACGCGCCCGTAACGCGCCCGTAACCCCTAGATTCCACCGGGTCCGTCTGCGCCGCGTTACGGCTGCGCCGCGGTTTTGGTCCGGCCTCCTCCGGCGTCATACCCTACCAGGCGCGTTTTAGAAGCATTTCAGAACCGGAGAGTCTTGCCTGCCGGCTCGCAGTTTTTGTTGATTTGGGCATATTTCCTGGACAGGCTACTTTGTACAGACAAAGTTAATAATAACTGTAATATTCCAGTTATAAACGACATGAATCAAAGATGTGTTGCTGTGTTTTAGTGGTAAAAAAAATGCATTCATCATCATAATTATTCTATATATATAATTTACACAGTGCCTGTAAACCGGAGGAGAACGCTGGCATTTCTCCTCCTACTTGAAAGACTACGGAGGGATAGGGTCTGCAAAATTAGTTTGTGTGTGTGTATATATATAGGTCTATATAGCTCTGAACGTTCCACTTCCTGCCTGCCCGACCTTACGTTACGGCTGCGCCGCGACAAAAATAGGATTCGATCCTAATTTTAGAAAAGCCCTGCGCCGAGCCGCTTCTGGGACGCTTCTGGGACGCTTCTGGGACGCGTCTGAGCCGTAACGCGCCGCGTGTGGTGGAATAGCACCCATTGACTAGAGTGGCCGCGATCACCTTGAGCACCGCGGCGCAGCCGTAACGCGTCCGTAATGCGCCGCAGACGGACCCGGTGGAATCTAGGGGTAACCGCCGCAGACGGACCCGGTGGAATCTAGGGGTAACGCGCCGCAGACGGACCCGGTGGAATCTAGGGGTCAGAGTGGCTTGGATTTTGGGTCAAAACAAAAAACCATTTACTGATGGAGAGGTTGTCAAGGAGTGCATGAGTGCAGTAGCTCAAACCTTGCTTGAGGGAAAACAAAAAGAAGAGCTTTGTGAACAAATTAAGCAAATACCTTTGTCAGCATCATCAGCCACAAGGAGGAGTGAAGTATTAACCCAGGATGTGCTAGCCCAGCTGGATGAAGCCCTTCATAAGGCACCCTGTGTAAGCTTAGCTGTAGATGAGTCCACTGATGTTTCTGACAATGCTCAGCTGTTCATTTATGTAAGGTTCTTCAACAAAGACAATAAAGTGTTCTGTGAAGACATGCTAGGTGTAACTCCCCTTCAGACCAGTACAAGAGGAGAGGACATCTACCTGGCCATTAAGGAGATGTTAACAAAGCGAGGAATAGAGCCAAAACAAGTGGTTTCAATAACCACAGATGGAGCCCCTGCCATGATAGGGAGAGAGAAAGGAGCTGTGTCAAGAATGAAAGAGGATAATCCTGAGCTCATCTCTTACCATTGCATCATCCATCAATCTGTCCTGTGCTCCTCCCTGTCAGATGAGCTTGCTGAGGTGATGAACACAGTGATGAAAATGATCAATTTTCTCAGGGCATCCTCTTCCTATCAGCATCGCATGCTCAGGGAGTTCCTCAGAGAAGTTGATGCAAACGCTGATGATCTTTTGCTGCACAACAATGTGAGATGGCTCAGCAAAGGCAGGGTATTGGAGCGCTTTTGGTCCATCAGAAGGGAAGTAGCAGCTTTCTTGGCAGAGATGAGAAGTCAGAAGGCAACACAGTTTTCTCTGTTTTTAGAAGATGAGAAAAAGATGGATAATGTGGCCTTTTTGGTTGACATCACTTCGCATCTGAATGAACTGAATTTGAAGCTACAGGGCAAGGACAATTCAATTTGTGAATTGATGACAGCTGTCCGCTCCTTTCAGAGGAAACTTGAAGTGTTCAAGGAAGATCTGCAGGGAGACTGTGCACACTTCCCAGCAGTGCAGGAACAGGTTCAGGGACAGAGAAATGTGTCTTCTTTTGTTGACTTTGTTGATAAGCTGATTGTAAACTTCAGCAAACGTTTTGACAGCTTCAGCTTTGGACGGCAGCTCACCATGTTCATTCAGAACCCATTTCTTATCACAGATGTCAGGGAGTTCTCAAAGGAAGTCACACAGCACTTCAAGTGGGCAAATGCTGGGCTAGGGTTAGGGTTAACTGTTAAGTCATGATGTGAAACTGTTAACAAAGAAAAAGGGAAACTCAAGCTGCTGCTACACTTTATTTTATTTATCTAAAATTAAGCACTTTAAAGATGCACATATTTTCAAAAGCAAATTTTATTTATTTTATCTGTTTTATTTTTAAATGCAGCCCGAGAGGAACATTACACATATCCACAGTATTTACTGTATATCTGTATAGTTCAATGTTCATTGACAATAAATATTGTTGTTTTTGAATTGTACTTTCTTTATTTGATTGGCAGTCAGTTGTTGATGACATGCAGACGTTGATAAAGCTACATGCTACTTCAATATATATCACACTAACTCATAAAGCAACTTAGACATTTTGATGTTCCGGACCTTTGCATGGGGACATTTTCTCTAACTGGACCTCGTTGAATTTGAGTTGAATACCCCTGGTCTAGGTATAGTGGTTTTAGATCAGGACCTGGTCTAATGTGGCCAGGATGCGAAAAAGCACTGAAATCTCTCTTTTTTGTATTTTCACAAATAGAATTAAGGTTTCCCAAATCTGAAACTGTGTTATAAAGAATGTTTAGCCTCTCTGGGATAATCCAGTCCAAATAAATCGGCTATGCAGCGATTTAAGAGGTTCAAACACGGAGGATTGTTCGCTCAGCGCTGTAAATTAAATTTCCCTTAACTTTCCCCTTAACTGCCGAATCGGAAGCTCTGAATCGGAAGCCAACAGCGTCGTTGTGTCAGCAACGTGCAGTCAGGGGAGGCACGGATTGGCCGTCGGGAGAGTCGGGACTTATCCCGGTGGGCCGCTGGCCAGCTGTGAGTTCTGGAGAATCACAGAACGGCCGGACGCCAACGGCCCGGTTCGCTTACCTCCGACAACACACTGTGGGCGGGACTAAGACACAAGGATAGGAGTCGAGGAGGGGAGTCAAGGAGGGGAAATTACAGAAATGAGAAACCTTCACTGACACTATCCAACGTGTTTATGATGTCATCAATGGGCGTCTGCTGTGGATGAACTACAGTTCTCTGTACAGGACTACAGTTAGACTCTGGATACTTTGCACCGTGCTCTCATGGGTTTGTTTCAGTGGCGTCACCTGGCCTGGGCATTCGGGGCTTTAGCATATTAAGATATGCATTTTTTTTTTTTTCTGTAGCCCCGGACAATTCTCCCTCAATAATATAATACATTAACCGGGCTTTAACTGAACCTCGTGACACTTGAGAGGACGGCAGGTTTGTAATTTCCTGTGTTCAGTGAATACAACAGAGGCAAGACACCAGACCATTCAGAGAGTTGCATGGAACTTCCTATGTCCATCATCTTGAATAAATCCGACGACTGAATGCCTAAACCCGCCATTACCTTAACAGGTCACCGGGTGGCGCACTAGCTACAGTGGCCTGCAAAGGACAAGCTTTAATCATATGAGAATGATCTACAGATGGGACGATCTGTTTTCATGAATGACTGCCTCGCTGCACTTTATCACTCTTACTAAATAAACCATGAACTTGATACACAATATTGATCTCCAAGTAAAATAATTGTCGATCAAATGTTTGTTTGTAATAAGTTCAGAATACATTTGTACAATTAAGATAAAGCTGACACTTTCTAACGACCCAGCCATGGTTGATTGTCCATTCATAATCATTTGTATAAAGTCTCTCATCAATAAAACCTCTAAAATATAAACCTTGTGTAAAATATGTGTCTTTAGCTGAGAGTTATATCATGAAGCTAAAGGCCTAAAACAACTACTCAAACTGAATCAGGAATTCCAACCACCAGGCTTTATGCACTTTGGTGAAAGCTAAGGAATATTATAAGTAAACAAACCTCAGAGTAAATGGAGATGCAATTACGGACATCTCATTTTGATCCTTGCTTAGTCAATAATATACAAACTTGTATGTTGTTTATGTTTGCACCATCATACACCCACGCAAATTCCTTGTATACCATGTAAACCAGGGGTGCCCACACTTTTTCAGCTTGGGAGCTACTTTTAAAATGACCAAGCCCAAATGATCTACCTACCTGCCCCTGCCCAATCTGTGTCGTGAGCGGGGGGGGGGGGGGGGGGGGGGGGGGGGGGGGGGGGGGGGGGTGAACTGTTGGTTAAACTGTGGCCCGCTTATGGCACAATACAACTCAGACTGGCGTACCTGTACGTCAATCAAGTGGCAAGTGCCAAATAAAAATGTAATGTTTTCTTGTTTTTTCAATGCCATGCGATCTACCCACTCGACCCTTGCGATCGACGTATTGGGCGCCCTGGTGTAAACGCACCTGGCCATATACTTGATTCTGATTTAAAATGCAATCCCACCATAATATCTAAGATCCCCTAATAATAACCTTCTGAATGTATTCTCATGCTGTTTACCTAAAAACTAGGACTAAACATCTGATGAAAATATTCTAAAATACAACTTTTAATACACAATCTAAAAAGTTGTACTCAGGCAGTCTCTATTATTTGATTACAGTTAACTTGTTGACTTTTTACTGGGAGTTTTAACCCAAAAACAATGTTTATTTCCACATCGACATGTCATCTCCCTGTAAACTTTGAAATTGTAATCAAACCGAGGGATATTGACCAACACTGAAGAATATCCGACTAACATGTGGTCAGATAACCGAGACAGATAGGAAGTTTACGAAAGAGTTTTATTGTTTATTTTTTTAAGAGTTGACAGGAATCCCCTGAATCTTCCTGTAGTTTAGATCCATCGTGATGAAATGTACCACTTATGAATACATTACACATTCATTCTTTCATAAAATACAGAAAGAAAAAGGACAAACAGGATCATGTATAATAAAAAGAAAATTACACAAAACATTACTTACAAATAATAAACCTTATCAGAATTACATTTTGAACATATTCATTATTTTCAAGATAATATGCAAACATTTCCACAGCTTCACAAATCCTCAAATATGAGCTTGCTGCTTTATTTTGTCACATGACAGTAAACTGAGTCTCTCTGAGTTTTAAACAGCACTGCATTTAAAGATGCAAATATAACTTGAGCAACTATAGGGTTTCCCCCTGGTCCGTGTGGTCCTGTGATGATCCCCCGACACACTGGTGGTACTTCAGCTCTGAATGCCAGGCAAAGCCTCGGTGACACTTGCTGCAGCTGTACCGTTGCTCCACAGTGTGGACGGTCATGTGGGACTGCATACTTGCCTTGTGTGCATATGTTTTCCCACACACTGGGCATGGGAATGGTTTCTCTCTGGTGTGAGTTCTCATGTGTATCTTCAGGTGGGATTTGTAAAGACATCGTACACCACAAACAGAACAGACGAAGGTTTTCTCGCCCGTATGCAACTTCATGTGGCTCTTCAGGCTGGCATTGTGGGGAAACCTTTTCCCACAGTCGGGACAGCTGTACGGTTTCCGGAATGTTTTACTTTCAGCTCCTTGATTTTCGTTTAAACACGGTGATGCCGACTGAGGTTTCCTGTTGTCTTTCCAGAAATCACTGTCGACACTGTCGTCACTCTCAGCCCGAGGGAAGGTCAACGCTTTGTTTCCAGAGTCGCTGTCAGTGATTTCATTATTTTTCAACATGTTTAAACCTGACGGATGTTCCCTGGTCTCCTTCCAAAAATCACTATCAACACTATCATCAGTCTCTGGTTGTAAATGTCTCTCTGGATCTGAGTTCCTGGCTGGTTCTGGTCCTCCACAGTCCTCTCCATCAGCTTCTGTTTCCAGGTGTTCAGTTTGTCTTTGATGAAGCTGAGAGGACTGAGGTTTCTCTTCATCATCTTCACTCTTCACAGGGACAGGAGTGAATGTGAACTTGGTGATATCAGCCTCCTCCAGCCCTTGAAGCTGCTCTCCCTCCTGACTGCTCCAGAGTTCCTCCTGTTCCTCTTTAATGTGTGGGGGGGGCTCTGGGTCCTCCTGGTTCGGCATATGCTGGTTTTGATTTCCACCTTCAGTAAACAATTCCTCTCCCTGGTGATTGCTGTTAAATGTTTCACCACTGTGGGAAAATGCATGTTTCAGAGAGTTTAAATCTGACAGGCCTTCACTGCTCTGTTTCCAAAAATCATCGTCTTCACTGTCTTCAGTCTCTGAAGAGTCTCCAGGGTTGTCCTCAGTCTCTGGTTGTAAATGTCTCTCTGGATCTGAGTTCCTGGCTGGTTCTGGTCCTCCACAGTCCTCTCCATCAGCTTCTGTTTCTACATCTTCTGTTTGAAGAGGCTGTGAGGACTTACCCTCACATTCATGGTATTTCAGCGTAAATTGCGAAGGGAACATTCTGTTACAATATCTGCAGCATAATTGCTGCCTTTTGTGGACTTTCATATGTTTAGTCAGAGATCTTCTCCATGCAAATTCTGTACCACAAAGTGAGCAACTAAACTGGGTTTGTCTCGTGTGGATCCTCATGTGTTGTACTAAAGCCTCGCTGTCACTGAAACCTGAGTTACACACAGAGCAGCAGAAAGGTTTCTCCCCAAACTGACCAGGCATGTGAGAACTTTCAAGATTGGAAAAAGCGATACCACAAAGTGAGCCATCATTCGGTTTCAGACTTTTCTGAATTCTGCTGGTAACCGGCAGCTGGTGCTTTCGGTCTATTACTGTTCCACACTGAGAGCTGTCGAACAGTGGGTTAGAGGTGTGACGTTGCGAGGGCTCGCCGACACACTCGTGGTTCAAGAGCTGCCACTCCAGGAGGAAACTTTTCTCACAGACTGCACAACTGGGTGGTTTCTCCTCTGTGTGGACACATATGTGCCTGGTCAGATTTCCTTCTGTTGCAAACCATTTACCACAACATGAGCAACTGAATGGTTTCTCTCTTGTGGGAGATGTTTTGTGCGTCAGCTGACTGTCCTCATATTGATCTTTACGCTCTGAGGGACTGAATGGATTCTCGCTGATGGAAACGTCCTCAGTTTCCAAATGGTTTGGACCTGAATGAGGATGCCTGGTCTGTGTGGAAAAACAAACACCATCACCAGTCCTGGGATCTGTTTGAACCTGGTCATCAGAGCAGCTGACTGCTGTCTTACTGGTCATATATCCTTTACTTATAGATACTTTTTTATTTCTTCGATAAGTGAACCCAGACTGATGCTGCCTGGTATCGTTCCAAAACTCAATGTCAACATTGTCATCAGGTTCTAGAGATGGTTCGCCACCTTTATCAGTCTCTGGTTGTAAATGTCTCTCTGGATCTGAGTCAGCTGGAGCTCCACAATCCTCTCCATTAAAGCCGGTTCTTCTCTGCTGCGAAGACTCACCAAGACACTTGTGTTTTTTTATCTGAAAATGCCAAAAGAATCTCCTGCTACAGACACTGCAGCTGAATGGTTTCACTCCTGAGTGGACTGCCATGTGTTGCGACATTATTCCTCTTTGAGAAAATCTTTTACCGCACACAGAGCAGCTGTACGGTTTCTCTCCTGTGTGGGTTCTCATGTGTATGTCCAGATGTGAACTAAACTGTCGCTTTTGACCGCAAATAGAGCAAGTGAACAGTTTCTTTCCTTTATGCATTCTCATGTGGGTCACCAGGAGGTAATTGTTGGGAAACGTTGCATCACATTCAGAGCAGCTCAGTGGTTTGTTGTATTTATCACTTTGGCTTTTGTGAAGCTGTGAGAACTCGCCAACACACTTATGGTATTTGAGCTCAGACGTGGCCCTGAATCTTTTTTTACATATGCTGCAGCTGTACGGTTTCACCCCTGTGTGCGTCGCCATGTGGTATGTTACAGCTCCTTTGTGTCTAAATGTTTTACTACACACTGTGCAACTAAATGGTTTTTCTCCTGTGTGGATCTTCCAGTGGTAGTCAAGTCCTGCTTTCTGAGTAAACATTTTACTACACAAAGAGCATCTAAAAGGCTTCACTCCTGTGTGAGTTCTCTTGTGTATATTTAAATTTCCCCTGTGTTTAAATTTTTTAGCACACACAGAGCAGTGGAATGGTTTTCCATCAGGATCATTCATGTCTTTTTCTGTCTCAGATTCTGCAAAGTCTGTAGTCGTTTCATCAGTCCCAGGTTCAGAAGAGTCTCCAGGGTTGTCCTCAGTCTCTGGTTGTAAATGTCTCTCTGGATCTGAGTTCCTGGCTGGTTCTGGTCCTCCACAGTCCTCTCCATCAGCTTCTGTTTCCAGGTGTTCAGTTTGTCTTTGATGAAGCTGAGAGGACTGAGGTTTCTCTTCATCATCTTCACTCTTCACAGGGACAGGAGTGAATGTGGACTTGGTGTTATCAGCCTCCTCCAGCCCTTGAAGCTGCTCTCCCTCCTGACTGATCCAGAGTTCCTCCTGCTCCTCTTTAATGTGTGGGGGGGGCTCTGGGTCCTCCTGGTCCAGACTGGAGCTCCACTCCTGCTGCTCAGGGGGAACCTCTTCTTTAACCACCACCAGCTGCTGGACGTCTGCAGGAAACAGGAAACACACATTCAGAGAAACTCTAGAGTATTAGAATTTAAAATCTAACCACGAGTAACACTTCATTAACTTTGCAGCCCTTATCCATTCCTTATTTTAAATGCTTGCCTATCATTTTGCTAAGTCCCGCCCACTTTGTGTTTCTGTTGGCTCAATTTTCCTTTTTTCCCTGGAGAGTTTCAGGAAAACAGGTGAGTTAGTACAGTAGCTGATATAAAAGGAACTTACACTGCTTAGTTTGGACAGGGAGAGCGTGGGGGCGAAGTTTCTTCTTTTCTGTTTGCAGATATGAGTTTCTACATGTAGGTTTGTGTAAGTCATGATCATGTTAGTTAACAGGGTTAGCTCGGCATTTACTGGCTGCATGAGATGATGGTGCATTGCACACAGAGCAAATACACAGGCGTAGTATGAGCCAAGATCTGAAAAAAATCTCAGAATTTTGACTTTTAAAAGTCAGCTCATAATAAAAAAACAAGCCTAAAATTGCAATATAACATGTTTACAAGTTGTTTGCATTACATTGTACTGTTTTTTTTAAATAACTTTTTTTAGGATATCTAATTAAAACAACACATTTTTTCAAAAAGAAAGGCATTTCTGCAGACATGTTAGGTTTCTCAACATTATATCAATAAATATAACCGTTGTTTTCTTAATTTGTGAAACATAACTTTGAACAAAGCTTTGTTTTTGATTGTGAAGTGTTGGTTTCAGATTTGTTTTATTTTTAACATTATATATGATTTTAGATTGATCTTCTTAATATAAGCCACTAGACCTACAGCGTGTCTGATGTGCTGCTGAGCTGGAGCGCCCCGAGGGACTGTGCCGTCACCATTCCTGTTCACCCTCTACACCTCCAACCCCCTCAACTCCGGCTCATGCTCGTGCAATTAATCGTATTTTAATCTCGATTACGATTTTGGCTTGCAACGATTACGAAAACAGCTTAATCGAAATAAAACGATTATTTTTGCTGCATTCCCTTTCGCAAAAGATGCTCTCAATTTGTCTTGCGTTATACATCCTGCCCCCCTGACAACGAGGAGGAGTACAAGGCCCCGGTGGAGAACTCCTTAGGCTGGTGTGACAACAATCACCTCCAGCTCAACATCAGCAAGACTAAGGAGTTGGTGGTGGACTTCAGGCGGAGCAGGAAGAGGCCTCTGACCCCCATCACCATCAGGGTGCCTTAACTGGTTCTTCTCTGGTTCTGAGTCCAGAGCCAGTTCCGGGCTACAGCCTGATTTAGCTCTGGTTCTTCCTGTTTCAGCCGCAGCGGAGCCGGCTCTAAACACCGAACACCGGTTCTTAGCTGACCCCACTTGGCTGCCCGGCAAGAACCAAGAACCACGCTCACGTCGGAAGGGGGCGAGATGAACCTGAGCCATAATAACAGTTTATGGCGAGTACGGAAAATGAAAGTTGTAACAAGCAGTAGCGCTGAGCAAAGTGACTAGAAGGCAACCACACACTTATAAACAAACACACTTTATAAAGTCAGGCAACACTAACCAGGCTTCGTGTGATTCTGTTTATTTGTACCTTACTTTACTGACACTGTTTGACTCAGACCTAGTTTGACCGCTACAATAAAATGAAGTTTTTACTTTGTACTTTCTGGGTAATACTCTCTCTAAGTCCCTGAGAACAAAATCATGCCACTTCTGCTATATTTGATGAGAGATAAAATGATATTTTGCCAAAAGTTCTTAGTTAAATTGATACTGTTTTACTCAGTACTACTTGGACTACTACCACAAGTACAATCAAGTACTTTTACTGTGTACTTTTTGAGTAATACTAGCTCAAACTCCTGTCCTGAGTACATTCTTTCATGTATTCTGCTATCTTTGATAAGAGATTCATTTCAAACCTTTATTTATCCAGGTGAATCCCATTGAGATCATTGATCTCTTTTTCAAGGGAGACCTGCTCAAGTAGGTTCCACATGAAACATTAAAAACATAAACAGAACAACATAAAGGACATCATACAGTAGCATTACAGGGATTACAGTTTACATACTATCCACATGAACAGGTACCAACAGCTTCCGATTGAGTAGTAAGGTGTAAGGTTGCTCCATCGACATTTTCACCTAAACTATTGATGCAGATGGAGAATAAAAGTGGACCTAAAACAGAACCTTGAGGAACACCATTAGCAATGTTCAACCACTCAGAAGACAGCCCATCAAAGTGAACACATTGGGACCTTTCAGAGAGGTAGTTCACAAACCACCCACTGCATGGCTGGATAAGCCAATACTGAGTAGCCTCTGCTTTAAGATGCGATAATCGACGGTATCAAACGCTTTGGAAAGGTCAATAAATAGAGCTGCATAACTCTGCTTATTATCTAAAATACTCGCCACATCATTCACCACTTTCATTGTGGCAGTGATGGTGCTATGTTGCTTTCTGAAGCCTGACTGATGTTTAGACAGGATGTCATTGTTACATAAAAACACCTTTACCTGTTCACTCACTAGGCGTTCAAGAACCTTAGCCAGAACTGATAATTTAGAGATGGGTCTATAGTTATTTAAAACAGTGGCCTCCCCTCCTTTTAGTAGAGGCAGGACATAAGCTGACTTCCATACTTTAGGAATTGCATTTGTGCTGAGGGAGAGGTTACAAAGAGTAGTGAGAGGTGGAGCAATAAAATCTGCAGCTATCTTTAAAAAGAAAGGTTCTACGTTGTCCGGGCCGGCCGGTTTCTTAGGATCTAACTTGGTTAAAGCTTCATGAACAACATTTACAGTAAAAGGAGTAAAACTGAAAGGGTTTTCCAGACCACATTGTTCAGAGTCACCGACTGTGGTGTTCACAGAAGCAGAGTTAGTCACAGAATCAAACATAGAACCGCAGGACACAAAATGCTCATTAAAACAATTTAACATAGTAGCCCTGTCCGATATAGAGCCAGATGCTGTGGTAATGCACGGAGGTAGCTCATTACGGATCTCACCGGTGGATAGCGATTTTATGGCTTTCCAACATTTTCCAGGATTATTCAGGTTCTTTGTGGTAACTGACAGATAATACTTAGACTTAGCACTTTTGACATGTGAAGTGAAGCTATTCCTTAGCTGCCTAAAGCGTAGCCATTCTACCTCTGAGCCTGATTTCCTAGCCTTTGCCCAGGCCTTGTTTCTCTCATGTAGGAGACTGGACAGTTCAGCAGAAAACCAAGGATTGTCTCGTCCCTTCACTCTAAATGTACGCGTCTATCCATCATTTCCATAAAACCAAGATAAAAATAAGACCATGCAGTTTCAACATCAGCACACAGATCGATTTTTCCCCAATCAAACCCAAACAGATCATGTACAAAACCCTGCTCCACAAAATGTTTTCTGTCTCTCTTACTGATAATAGCCGCGTTCACACCAAGTACTTTCCTGTACTTAGTTCCGGCACTAAGAGCCCCGGCGCTTTTAACCCCAGGGCACTTAGTACAGATCGCGTTCACACCGGAGTACTTCTCCCTGAGGGAAGATTACGCAAATGAGCCGCTGACGTCACTTCTTCTTCTTCTGCTTTGGCTTTACTGGCAGGCCACAAACCACTTCATGGCGAGTACAGTAGGTGGCGGTATGCACCTTAAAGTTGTTTGCAATCCGCTGCAAAACAAGAGAAGAAGAAGAAGAAAAACTTCCCGCGTATACTGCGACGCCCACCCACTCGCTGTACATTAGGCGTCTGTTGTTTACCTTCCGACCTCAGACATGATGGAGATGGAGTCGACTGAAGTTGTGCTGTTTGTGCTCATGTTATACAGCTTTGTAACGGAGTTAATGCAGCCTGAGCAACTTGCGTACAATAACAAGCCGAGCACGAGTGGTGGTGGAGAACGCTTTTGGCAGACTGAAGGGCAGGTGGCGCTGCTTGATGAAAAGAAACGACTGCAAGATGGACCAGATCAAAATCCAGGTGGCAGCATGTTGCATATTACATAACCTTTGTGAAAGTAATGAGTACAGGGACGAATGGACTGCCTTACCGGCGACCCAGCTTGATGGGCCAGCCACGCGCACAGCCCTTATGAGGCATCTGAACAGCGTGTAAATTGTAAACATTTTGACAATAAAGACGATCTTTTGTACAGTGCTTTTGTTTCTCTTTTATTTTCCAGTCAAGACAGGCAACATTACAATAGTGTACAGTGTGGCAATATAATAACAATAAACTGTGCCAGGTGTGTTGTATGCACAGTAAATAGGCTCAGCAGCAAACCCACCTTTATTATATATATATCTTCCTGAGACCCACTGCATCCGTCTGCCATAAACACTATGGAAACCTACATGTTAGTTTCGGCCCATAGTGGACTCCATTTTGTGTTGTGTAAAATGGGGGGGGGGAATTAAAAGTTTGCAAATCCCCATGTCCTCCTCAGAGGACAATCATAAAAACATTAGTTTTAGGTCAAATAATATTTAAAATGATATAAATTATCATATTTGTGTATGTGCCCCTGCCATTCCTCCACAAGGTTGCAACATTGATGATAATAATGACAAATAAAGCTTGGCCAGTTTATAACCGATGAAACATGATGGTATCAGAATAATTACTTACATGTGATGTATAGGATGCTACACAGGTCACTAAAGATAACGTGTCAGGAGAAATAAGCAAGATACAGGATCTGTTTAACAGTAAATAGAAGTTCACATTTTTAATGTAAATAAAATAGAAGTTGTACATGTAAATTAACATTATCAATATAAAATAAAGTGTCAGTTGTATCAAGACTATATAATAACAGTAATAACAATAATATAAAATGAACTGGTGAGCATCTTGTCCTCCGTTTCCTGGGCCTTGGTGAACAGCACCATCTGATCCCCGTGCATCGACTCTTTCACCACGGCACGCCGGTCCTCCAACGCCTGGACGGTGTCAAAGAAATTCGCATCCCGTGTCCGCTTTCCTAAGAGGGAAAATAAGCAAGATACAAGATCTGTTTAGTCGCC